TAGTCTGTGTCAGCACCCTCCGAATCCTACTTAAAATTTAAACAAGAAACCCAGTGAATTATTCACATTATCGTCCTCGTAATTAGTAGAATCGATTTCTACCAATTATAACCTAACTGCATATCTGCACATTTGATGTCTTACGAGTCTGAGTTTCGTGAAACCGCAGCTGAATATCTTACGGCACTGCCAAACCACAACAAGGTCAAGCATGGGTCGGGAATTGCGTCGCTAGTCTGTCCAACAAAGGCACATGCGCGCAGATCACGACTCCACCTCATGCAGACAGGGAGATAATTTTGTTTGTCGAAGAAGAAGTCGGGTCTAGTGCTAGCCACGATGACCTGTCTTATCTAGCACTGGCTGACGCGCCTCTGCTCATAATCTTTGCACGGCAATTCTACTAATGCCCTCATCACAAGATAGCTTATGCTTTTGTTCGTTTAAGTTGACCACTGCGCCTTATAGCCATTGACGTCCTCTCGGCATGGAGTTCGCGAATCGCACTTCCAAACCTGTCGAAACTGTAATACATTAGGTAAATGCAAAGGCTTGACATTAACGGTATATTTTATATCTGATGACATTACGTAGTATGGACAGGACATTTTCAGTTGCGCGACGTTAGCGCACGCGGGTTTCTTCCTATTATTATAGCAATAAATACGGTACAATAAGGAAACACAGATAAAGGTTGCTTGACGAATAACTATTTAATAACATCAACGTATTTACTTTTCGCAAAAAGTGCGAAATAAAGGTAATGGCTATATGACAAGTCACTGATCAAATGTTAAATACAAATGTTTTAAGGCATGGCAGCGCAAAAGTATGGCAAACTAATACAGAATAAGTACAGCTAACAAATGCGTATGCGTCATATACTTTCCAATAATATTTAGAATAGCATCTGTCAGGCCTAGACTTGGACAACTCATCTAGAGTTGTTTGCGCAATGTGGCTATTGAGTAAAACTTCCAGTTTTTAATGCACGAAAAGCTCATTATATGCTTTGTGTCAGTGTCTATTGAGAATTATCAATATATTTTATATGATATTTCGATCCGGGCTGTAGGCATGCGTAAAAATAGATTGGAGGCCAACCAAGGATAGGCTGGCTGTTAAATAAAAACTAAGATTACAGTAATAGTGCTGTAAATTCGATTCCCGGGTGGTAGATCAGAAGAAAGAAGAGCGTTCACCGGGAGAGGCTTATTATAAGCCTGACGTTTCGGGTAGTGGTCCCGTCTAGCCATCTTCAGAGAATGGGTACTCTGGCTCAAAGCCCTCGTCCTTATGCCGGAGATTGGGGAACCCATTGGAGTGCCCTAGATTTGTTCATACGTGGTTCCTTCGAAGGTAAAGAAGGTTCTGAGGCAATGCTCCACGAGTTCTATTATAT